TGAATAAGTATATGCTGTCCAAAAGATTGTCTAATTTGGAAAATAGGAAATTGACACACCGCTTAGAGAGGTATGAACGTATTGATGACAAAAGAGCACAAAACAAATGGCAACACACCTTCTTTTGTATAGTCCACCTACAGATATTTATAACATTTCAACTGTTCCACTTTCTAGATTTCAAACAGATTATTTATACAGTAAAGGACTATGTGACGCGAACATGTCCTTACTAAGATATTTGTTGTGCCTAAACCTAACCAAACCTTAACCACAGTGGTGTAATATCAGAAAACTGTTGTTGGATCTCAACTAATAAGCTGATGAAATGTTACAAATACTCTATAAACTCTCTATTGACTGACTATCCAAATAAACACGTAAACACTTGGGTCTGCAGTATGTGTGCAGGAGTCTTCATCTTACTGAAAACGAATGTCATTTGAGGATTAGGTACTGTACATGCTCTGTCAGCTGGGCTGTTCTGTTGGTAAACACCTTGGCACCCAGAGTGAGATCAATGCTGGATCAGGTAGGACCCAGTGAAGGAGTGGCAAGCTCAGCCATCCTTCTTACTGAATTCCCCTTTGAGACACATCTGCCTGTCAAGACTTACAGTGATTGCCACCGTGGACTGGATCTGCAACAGTTTTTTGGCCCTTTAGACTTCCTGGTTCTTTCTCCTGTTCTAGTATTTGTACTGGCATGATTGGTGAAATCTGTCCACTGCCCCACTCAACATTTCTTTGACTTTGGTGGGGGGGTTTTTCTTAGACCAAAAAAAAAAGAAAAACACTATTCATTGGGCAGCCAAAGAGCAGATTCATTCAATTCTGGGTCAGTGCTTTATGGTGCTTACTGCTGAGAGGAGAAACTAAGCCCCTTCGCCATAGTGGCAATTATTCAGAATGCACAAACCCAGGACCTACAAGTCCGTAGGTGGTTTACTAAGCGTTTGTGCGATGCTGGAGCTGTCTGCCTTTATACCTGCTCTCGACAGGACATGCTGTCCTCCTACGAGAGATTTCTGACGAGAGTGCTGTGCGGTGATAACAACTGTGACTTGCCCTGAAGGCTTTGATTTTTTCAAAGCCAATAATAACAGAACTCCTCGTAGCCCTGATGTTTTCTTTGAGGATTGGATATTAAGGGGTCGAAGAGTCTCCTCTCTCAACCCAAAGGCCAGTTCACTCACTGCAACACAACTTAGAAAGTGTAAGGGAAAGGTTGGTTGGGATTTTAACTCTACCTTCTTTTATTATCTGTTGTATGTTTATTTCTTGGTGCAGCTCCAGAGGGAGTACCGTTTATCTCAGAACGACATAGTACCTCTACCACCTTTATCCCTCTTAGCACAAGTTTATGTATTTAGACAGTGACAGCCCCATGCTTGTTCCTGTGCTGTGTGTACACCCTTTCTGTCAGACAGTAAGGGGCTGATCCTGGGATATTGTTGTGTATTCAGCTGCAGCTTGCAGTGCCTCACATCCCTAACAGCCTTCACCTCTGGTTTTTAACCAATAGTGAAGTCTAGTAGCATGCAGAGCACTTGCAAAATAGCAGTTACCTCCAGTATTTTGAGAACATGAATCAGCCTCTAACTTCTCTCTTGTTCTCAGTTTGTTGAATTGGATGTGAGCCAAGTAGCAGGTGTGCAACACCTTTATTAGGATTACTACTACCTGATTTGACAGTGAAAGCATCAATCTGTCATGGCCATCAAAGCCTACTTGATGAGTGCACACATCCTTTCTCTGGATGACTACTATTTTGTTGCAATGTGACACACTTGAAATCAGAATAATGAGTAATTCCGTTTCACACAGTGGGAGCTTGCACTATTGTGTGTGTCTTCAAACAGCTGGATTCAGGTTGTAATGATATGGTAGGAGTTGAGAAAACATGCTTGGCTGAGGACTGATTATGGGACAAATCAAACCAGGCACCAGCCTCATTATGTCGAGATGAAAACACTCACATAGGGCATGCAAAAAATAGTGATACAGTCCTGCATATTTTCAAGGTGGTATAAAAAATGGTATAAATCTCATGCCAGCAGGGGTCCCTCTTGTCTACAACCTAATCAAGCATTATGGAAAAAAATAAACAAGCTTTATACTAAATGTGTCCTCCTGTGACTTTAGTTGACAACTACACAGCTAAATAAGATTTAGAGTTCGTTAGTTTGTTAGATCATATGGGATCTAAAACACAATAACATCTATTGTGACTGTTCAGTAGGTAAATACACAATGATTTAATATATATTTGATGCCTTCATTTCCCCCCGCTTACTCTTACTCATACTCCTGCTGCTGCAACAGCATTATTTTTCAATTTGTTCTCATCTCTATATGAAACCAAGTCTGAAATATAGTTCCCCAACCTGACCCAGTCTAGCTGCCTGTGTTTTTAGGTGTTGCTCCTGTGAGAGTGTAGAGTACAGCAGTGTGATGGCATCTAGTTGTAACTCCTTCACTTCACCCTCCCCTTCCAAGTGTGTAGAAGAAACTACAGTGGCTGTAATATGTGCAGAAAACAAATGGACGCATCAAATGCCCTATCTAGAGCCAGTGTTTGGTTTGTCCCTTCTGGCGGACTCCATGGAAGGTGACCCATGACATCTGTAGATATAAAAGGCACATTCTAAGGTAACAAAAACATAACGTTTTCTGTATTCAGGTGATTATACACTAATGAAAACATAGTAACACGTATTATTCAATTTCTGCCAACAAATCTTCCTATGCGACATGCTGGTCCTTCAGGGTATCAGTGCCTTTTCCTTTGTCACTCGTCTCAGCTTTTGTTTGAGAGGCCTCATATTATGATGAATAAAACTTAAAGACTAAATTGCTTCACCACATTGAATGAAGCCATTATAAACATTTGTGGAAGCACTTAAATCATTAACATCCTTCTGAATTGTGTTGCAGTTACTCCTCTGCCAGTCATCAGGAAAATGGGGCTGTAAAAGCCATGCAGATGTTTCTGGTTCTTGATGATGTTTACACACAGTTTTCCATTTTTTTAAAGAATACCAATTCTTCCTAACATTTGACCTATTCTGTCCACATTAATACAGCTTTTACATCTAAAAAATCTGTTCAAAGAAGTATTTGCTGATGGAGACTTAGTGTTCAGTGCTCATACTGAGTCTGTGATATTGATTGAGCAAACAACAAATAACCAGATATTAACTTATTACATTCAATGGGGATTTGTGGCTATGTATCAAATACACATGTAACAGTCAGTGTTTGAGGAAATCATCTCACTGAGCAAGGGCAAAGGTTATAAATGATCTTTATTATAATCCTTGGAACAGCGTTCAGTATACAGAACTTGCATTTTTTTGAGTTGAGAAACCATTAATTAAACCGTAAATGATAAACAAATCATATCAGACAAAAAAAAAATAACAATCTGTGTTAAACAGCCTTCCATACCATTACTAATGTTCAATTGTAATTTTTAGTAGGGATATCCTGATTTTTATTATTTACCATGCATGATAGAGTGCACTAAAGTCAGGTGGTGTGTTATGACAAACAGGCGAGATATTGACATTATAAAAATGTGTCAAAGAGAGTGAAAATCATTTTGAGTTGAACATAGCTCATCAGCTGCATCTGGCACAATTAGAAGTCTGAACACCGCTTATACATGATTACATTTCATTCAGATTAAATTATTTAGTATCTCCACTGGAGCCAAATGATATCACTTTTCTGACCTTAAAGAGCCGCTGGAAAATAAATCTTAAGGGAACATAATCTATGTCCAGTGGGATTTGAATTACTACAAACATTGTTGACGTCTTTTTGGAGCACTTTCTTTGGTCATATTTTTGTCATTTGACAACATAATCTCACTGAGAAGTGCAGCCAGTATATTTCACATTTTGCAGCAGAGCAAGGATGATTTGTTTTCTTCTTTGGTACCACAGGCCTTTACACCTCAGGCCGAGACGTTCCAGACTTTTTAATGACTTCACCACTGCTAATTATCCCTGCTTTGTTCTGGGCTTGGAGCTGTTTCTTCTCTGCAGTTAGGTTTCTTTTTTTTTTTTTTTACCATACTAAGTTATACCTGCAGGTCTGCTACCAACTCGTGGCTTTTGATATCATTTGGAGAAGGTTAAAACACACATCTGCTGTGTTGGCGGTAAAACTGACTTTATGCAGTATTTTTCCCATGCTACACATTTTCCTTGAGAACCAATTATCTTGACGGGGTCTGACATTAAAATGGCAACATCTGCCCACTGGCTTTAGCTTATCCAGCACCCACCTACAGTACATTTTACTGTTATTATTCTGCTTCTGTCCCTCTAATTAAATCCTGAAGTGTGTCATCTAGTAAACATGTCCATGCCCATGTTACTTAACAGAAGCAGCAACAAAAACATAACGTAAAAAAAAACACATTGCAGCAATTTCACATTTTCTCTTCATGAAATTGGTACCTTTGGATGGTTATTGCACATGATAAAACTGGTAGGAACAAAATAACTCAGATCAAGTACTTAATATAAAACATAAACTGCCACAGCAGTGAGAGGTATAACAATTAAACATCACAATGTTGACTATTGCTATTAATGACAGAATCCCAACCTCCATCAGTGATAACGTATCTGCTCTCTGAACTAGTCTGCTCCTAAAGAGGTCTTCAATCTCTTTAGCTACATCATGACACATTTGGTTGACTGTTATTTATCCTTGCCTTCATCTGTCCAGCACATTTCACACGCTAATGTTACCTTCTCACTCCTAAGTCTTTCTTTTTTTTATCTACACCAGTGACGCACTCGATTCCAGATATTTTAAAAATGTTCAGCAGAAAGCAGAGGATTTCTATCTCCTCAAACATGGCAGGGTACATACATATGGATGAGGAAATAAAACCACTATTCCTTATTCTGAAATTTCATTCCTAAAGTGAACATGCAACATTCGGTTGCTGTTTTCCCATTATACTTTCAAGCAGCACTCATCACATAGATATATCAAAATAAAATGAAATACAAATAAATAAAAAGAGAATAAACATACATTGAAAAGTGCAAATGTACATTTGTTTACAGCATGACATATTCACTGTACAATCATTGATTATATACTCACATTATTGTATGCATTATAATAAGGATTACTAAGTAGCATAGTTTGAGTAAGAAATATTTCATAGCAAGTCTATTGGAAAATATTTGCATTGCCCTGTGACAAGGAGAGGCTCGTCTAAACATTGCCAAGGGTGAATGTGTATGTTTGTGTGTGTGTGTGTGTGTGTATGTGCACATGTACCTGTGTGTGTGTGTGTGTGTGTGTGTGTAAGAGAGAGACAGAAAGAAAGAGAGAACCAGCATGTATGCTGACATAAAGTGTATGTGCAAACAATTAAGCAGAAGAAACTCAAATCATTCTAGTTCAGAGGCACAAAAACTGCCCAGCCTGCATTTCAAGTATCTAGCATTGTTTGGACAACACACATCTGTCAGACATCAGCAAAGCAGAGAGAAAGAGAAGGAGAGAAAAAAGGATATTTCCTTTTAGTAGCTCAGCTAAAGAGTCATACAACGAGTGGAAACAAGCAGTTCAAAGAATTGTGTCAAAAGAGCAACATCGATTAGACAAACATCACTTTTTTAAACCATAGAATAGGCTATTGCACTTCACTTAAAACACCATTCTCTCGTTGCAATACGATTAAGACAGCTCTCCAAAATCAGCACCCATGCTTGCTTTCACATTGTGCTCCCAGTTCACTGAATGCTTCCTCGGTTATGACAGAAACAAATGTGTATAATAAGGAGCAAGTAAGGAATCATATTGTCGCAGGGTGAATCTGTATCAGTCTCTGTGTGAGACACGCTGCTTGACATTTTTACAAACATTTTGTCCTTGTCTAAACATTCTACCACCATCCACGGTAGGGCAGAAGGCCTGCAAAAACGATCCACACTGAAGATGGAAAGCGAGGAAAGTCATCCACTGGCAGTCGATTTGTTAAGGTTGTATTCCGTAAAGAAAAGCCATCGTAGTCAGCGTCTCGGTAAGGATACCCTGATGTGATGATCCTAAAGGAGAAGCTGCATAAGTTTCCTGGCACTAAAAGTTTCCACTTCTCCAATAAGAGGGTATCCATCTTGAAATCTTGTTCCTCGGCCATCTTGATGGGTGCTGTCCAATTAAGTATTTACGGGATTCTGATGTAGACCATGGATTACCTTTGTAGGCATTGGATTGAAAAGCTAATTATTGGACACTCCTGCACCAAAATGATTACTATGGCTCCCCATAAACCCGGAGGCTTTCTTGGAGTTCTCGGAAATCAGTACAAGTTTCTCACTTTAAAGAGACATGCTTTCTGTTACTGTGTTGGGTAGTCTGTTTCTATATGATGCACATACACATTATTTTTGGAAGGTAATGGTGATCTGAAAAATACTATTACCTGGAGGACAACTAATAATGGGCAGGGGGTAGAACAACACTCCACAGTCTGAACTTTCTTTTTTCTTGAATAAACTGTTTCAAAGGTAATGTTGTATTGTACATTTTGGGTAATGGTGCAGCACAGCTTTCTGATGATTTTATGTGCTGGACTTGTGTATGTCTTTGTACATGTATGTGAAGTAGAGACAGAGAAAGAGAGACTAAATGCTTGCTTACTATCTCACACTGCCGGGGATATGTGCGTGCGTCCAAACCCATCAGTGGTTGCTTCTGGACGTCTTAACGCTCTGACTTGACTTTGTAGCGCAGAACCAAGTAAGTAGCTAGTCTGAGGACAATAAAGAAAACTCCCAGCACCATGAAGTCCACGTAGAGCTTTGCGTCTTCCACATCCAGCAGCTGTAGGACCTCCTCTGGCTTTTGGAACTTACACACCAGGCCTGGACACTCCAGCTCCGACCGGTTCATTCCATAGATAGACAGTATCACCCCCTCAAAGCCATACCTGAAAAACATTTTTGAAAAAACCTCATAAACCCAGGCTCATTTAAAGATAATCATTTCAGATCAGAAAAAACCTGAGCTCCAAGACCTATAGCAACACTAAATTTAACAAAAGGGACAGTGACAGTACCTGACATAGGAAACATAAGAGCTCCACTGTAGGTATTTGGGAATGGTGTCAAAATTGACAAAGAAGCCAGAGAAGAGGAGCACAGGTATGGCTGTGACTGGACCCACAAAAGTTGCCACCTGTGAAACAAACAAGCAGTATTCAATTAAAAAATAAACCCAATTAAATATCTTGTCAGCAGAAACTTAAAGAAGTACTACTCCCATTTAGCATTGCAAATCAACATCGTCAGACTCATGGAGGACAATTCGAGAAAATCTAAATCAAATGAAGCAGAACTATGATATCATCTTTCTATGCATTCTTCTTCCTGGTGCCTACATTAACCACAATGAAACCCAACCACTGTTCAGCCACAGATTCGTATGTGTTATGCTAGTAGGGGCTAATGTAGTCTCAAGCTGCTAGGCTTAAGCAGAGATGCAGAGATCTGTTAAATAAAGATGTTGCAATACCATGTTTTCCTTCCTGATGTATAATTAAACATATATATTATATATTAATTATGCATCTGATCAGTAGATGAGTTAGAAAGAAGTGCTTTATGTTACTTTATGCTGTTTATAAGGTTAATTATTAGAAGTTAGGTCAGCTCAGTTTATGTGAAAAGCGGTTGTTTTTTGGTAGGGCCATAAACTTTAACAATAATGACTTTGGTTACACCATCACTAAGACTCTTTTCTGATTCTCTTCAGTCTATAGACACACACACGTCATTTACTCAGTAACATCATTAACTAACCTGTGATGAAGTGTTTGCCACAGACGCACAGACACATATTGACTGTCTTGATCCCACAGTTTGCCATTTTTATCCTCTTTGTGGATGGCCTAAAGCCACAGATCTTTTCTTTTACTGTCCTTTGATCCTATAAGTATGCATTACTGCCCAATGTTGCTTTCATTTGCAAACTGCAAGTTTTATCTGGTGAGATCAAGTTCTGTATATGACCATTTTCACATATGCACCTATAAACAGTCTGCTACTGAAGATGTCTGGCATGTAAAAACACTCCTCTTTAAATAATAATTTGTGTCTAGTATGTAACAACAAGATGTTCTGTACTTTACTGCAAAGCCCTTTCTCAGTGTATGTTTCAAGTTTCCTCATTATACTTATCATACTAATTATTAGTACACTGGACAATAAATGGGTTCCTTGTTGTGATGGCATAAAATCATGTTCGTACAAATATGTCTTGTTCGAACTCAGATTTAAGGTGCTTAAGCATCTAAAAAACATTCCCTTTTTCGCAGATTACTTTAAGAACTGTCTTCTAGTGTCAATCTCTGCACATGCTGTACATCATTCTGCAGAGTAAAGGTCAAACATTGTTACACACATTTTTTAGAGGAGGGCGGTTTGCCTACCTGCAGAGACGTGGATGCAGCACCTATAAGCAGACCTAGGGATTGGGCTACTAGGGCTGTGGATGTGGACAAGGCCATAAAGAGCAGGAAGCGCCCTGCTTCTGGAGGCTGTGCAGTCATCCAGTACACTATACTACAGTAAATGATTGGACAAATTACCTGTAAAAGAGATTTTGCAGTGTTGCTAATTTGAAATGTATTGTATGCATGCCCAAAACCTTGTGTGCTCAATCTTTTGAACATTACCTGGAACGGTATATCAGCCATGGTTTTGGCCAAATAATAGGCCTTCAGGCTGTACCAGTAGTTGAGATGTTCCCTCATAAACACAGACATCTCCAGAGGAACTGTGGAACAGCAGCAGCATTAAAAAAACATTTTAACTATTTCAGAATTTCAAGCAGAAAAACAACATAGCAAATTAATGTTTCCAATCTCTCACAAGTCTCAACATCTTACAGGTTAGGATGGTGGGCATCAGGGCAGCAAACATGAGGAACAACATGGAGAAAAAGAGGAAGCCAGTGTTGTTGAAGACCTTGCTGGCATCATTTCCAATTTTTAAATAAAGCAGGCCAATCAACACTCCAATACACAGATGGGACATCACCCTGAGGTGGGTCAGCACCTTGAAAACACACAAAAAACAAAACTCAAAAGCCCTGAAACAGTGCCTAGAATTATTGGTTTTGCCTATCACAGCAATAATTCATAAAATAATGATTTTACCGTGTCCCTGCATATGGTAATGAAGGTTCTTTTGAAGAGGATGCAGAACTGTGTGAATGTACTGGTGGCAAAGCTATGTTTCTCAAGGGTTCCTGTGTCCTGTGGAAAAAAACAGTGAGAGCATGGACTTAGTTGTGTAATTCACACAGATACAAGACAACCAGTAGCAAAACATGGGAAAATCACATTGTTTCATCCTATGCCACTGATCCTGAAGAGACAGCTCACTTAACAATGTTAGGATTGACATTTTGGCCTTAAACTAATTCAAACTTTCAAACAGACAACTGTGTCTGCACCACTCTCTAGGTGCAGAATTATTGCATTTTGAGTGAGGCTGAGAGATTAGTGTAAAAGGTTGCTGTATTTATAATAATATCTTAAATCATGTAATCAAAGAAGATAAAAGTTAGGAGGCCATAGTCAGAAAATGAAGATATGGGCATACTGTATGTAAGAATAGAAAACACAATAATCTGTCTATGGTAAAGGTCACTGGCTGATGCCTACACAGAAAAACCCAGAAGAAGATAGAAAGGGCAATGGAGAAAATCAATAAACTGATAAAATGTTTAAAGAGTAGAAGGGAAAAAGTGCACCCTGCACCAGGTAGGAGTAATGGCAGAGAGAGCTCTGGTTGGTGGTTTACATTTACACTTTTAGCATTTAGCTTATTCCCTTATCAAAAGCAACTAATAAAGGTGAGAAAGAGAGTGAGAGGAAGCTGAGTGAGGCTGAGGAGACAGATCGATGGCACGGTGAAACAGTTTGGGGAAAAATAAGTAATAATGAGGGGAGGAAAGGGGAACGGGGTATTTTGTTTCAATGCGACACAAGTGACTGATTGCTCAGTTTTGAGGTTCTTTTTTATATTATATATACAGTACTTTTGGTCAAAATGGAAACAGCCATGACTGCTTTATTATAATTTGTTTAATAAGTATTTAATTTCTACCATATTATATCATATCTATATATCATGTAAATCATTTAATGTTTAATGAGTGCAGCTAATCTATCACAAACCATTGATGGGAACTGATGAAATCTGCTGCAATTTCCTGTCATCGCATAAGACAGTAATGGCAGACATTTTCTGTGTTGCTGTGGTTGTAGAGCTTCCTTATTATATGATCTGAGGCCATGACGTCTGTAAATATAAGACACACATATAGGTGTATTGCTATGGTGAGGGGGCTGGTATCACTCACACTGTAACATTGAGAGGGACAGGAAGAGTCACTTTTGTCTCTGGAGTTCTTCTTGCCCTCCTCAGAGCACAATCCACCCTGGACTGCCTCAAACAACACTGGATTCAGATCCCCATACTCCCCTGAGGCCACCTCAATGACTGGGGGCAGAGAGGACAAGCTAGTAAGAACAAAACACAGACACACACACACATACATTTACTTGCACTAAAGGAGTTGCTTGACTTACTGAAATCAGCAGGATTGTGATACGTCGGACAGTGGAGGCCCAGGTTCTTCAGGTAAGGGATGAGGTAAGGGACTGTGCCCTTGTATATGCACTGACCCTGACTGAGGATGTACAGCTGGAGGAGGAACACAAGTACAGAGTAATCAACATAGTTTCCAACACACTGACTCTGTAAATAATACATGAACAACTTACAAAACAACAGGCCTGGCATTGATTGCTGTGCTGCTTGTCAGCTGGATAAAATGAATCATGCTAACCTGTATTGTCCTGGTCTGGTCTGAGCAACGGCTAATGGAAGGCTGGACGTGTCCAGCACTTTAAGCACTTAAGTTACCTTATCAAACATCTCAAAGAGCTTGGCACTGGGCTGATGAATGGTGCAGATGATCGTCCGTCCTCCCTGAGCCAGAGACTTCATGAGGGAAACAACCTGGAAGCAGGATGCACTGTCCAGACCACTGGGATGGGACACAAGACGAGACAGAAACCAAAGAAACGGATGCACTATTTAATCTGGATTTCTGTTGAGATTACCCAGTTCAAACTAGGTGAGTAATATCTTACCTGGTGGGCTCATCAAAGAACATGACAGGAGGATTGTTGACCAGCTCGAGACCAATGGCCAGTCTTTTACACTGGCCCCCAGAGATACAGTTGGTGCGTGTCTCAGCACAGTCCAGAAGACCCAGAGCGGTCAGGATCTCATCCACCTTAGACACAAACAGGGACGAATGTAGATACATGATGATGCAGATAACTGCTAATAGGGGTGGGCGACATGGATACAATTTTCTACCATAGTACTGATGACCTTATATCATAATATTGATATATGTTGTGATGTCACTCTGTTGAAATATAAGAAGGACCTGGCTGCAGACAAGATGGTGGACATCAACCATGATTGTTATCCATATACATAAGTGCCTGTTTAAATTTGTATTAATTGAAACTAGCTTCTTTGTTGTTTTGTTCATGTCTGTAAATCAAACAATAAAATGCATCTGTGTGAAAATGTAAAGAAGATATTGCCCATAATGACTTAATACAATCAAAGATATTTAAAGGATACTTTATTATACCTAGCATTTGACATCTCTTAAGTGAAACACATATCTCTTGCCCTGCCCATCTTTATCTGGAGAATAATTCAGTACATACTGTATAATTGTAATGCAATCAATATATTCTGACTTACAAGTTCTTTTTTGACCTGCACGCTCTCATTCATTTTCAGATGGGCAGAAACCTGAAAGACAGAAGCCAGCACATTATTATTGAACATTAGGATTTAATGATGTGTTGGGAGTTTTTTCATGTATTTCTTTTTTTCGGACAACCTCACCATCATGGCCTCCCTCACAGTGAGGTGTGGCAGCAGCATGTCATCCTGCATGATGTAGCAGGACATCTTCCTGAAGGTCCTCAGATCCCGTGGTCGACCATTCACCAGGATCTGGCCCTTCATGCCCGTCTGCCTGTTTCCCATCAGAAAACAAAATGCAGCCATATTCAAAGCAGTAAATTAAATCAAAAGTATGATCTTATATGAACAAAAAGAGAATATAAACTGTTTAGGAATCTACATTAACAAAAATTCCACATTTCACCTGTAACCCGCCAGAATATTCATCAGAGTGGATTTCCCGGCTCCTGAAGGCCCCATGATGCCAATCAGCTCTTTGCTGTTGAATCTTCCCGACAGACACTTAAGGAGGGCTTTGAAACCTGACAGAGAAGAAAAAAGCTTTTATTTATAGTGCTGTAATTAATCAGGACTTGTTCTTTTATCTTTTTTTGTATCTTTTAATGCTACATATTGGAACATATTGAACAATATGCTTTCAATAAATGTATTATATTTACGATTCCAGGCCGTTTATAGGAATCACATGTAGATGAGATTGTCTATAATAGAGGAAATAGTTAATATAAATATATAAGCTCAAAAACAAAATAGCAATATAAAATAGCATATAAAAGTGAGGTTTTAAGAGCTAATTTGGAAGATTAAGCACAAGAGCCCTCATACATTACAGGGGGAGAACAAGTTCACTATTGAGGGATGTTTATTCATACCCTTTGTTCTTCCACAGGTTTTGGAAGAATTGTAGAAAAAGACATATATAAGGCAACATAGGGACAGAAAATTTCTGCTGACATAAAATGATTTCACATTTTGCCTTATAATAGAAAATAATCTATTATGGTTGTGGTTATTTTAGTCGTGGTCCATCTGTTTGAACAATTATGAGTCTGCTGACCTTTATAACACCTTCCTGGTCACCAGCGGCTATGGCCTGTTGAAACAGTTGAAACTTACTGAGCCCTGAAACTCAGTTCACTGATTCTTAATGTGTTTCTACGGATGGTTATGCAGATAGTGAGTCCAGAAGGGGAAGTCACAGGCTACTAAATCTAAGTACTAGGAATCCTCAGGCAGAGCTAGCAGTGTTGTCGATCATAAATAGTCAAGAAAATGTGTTGTCACAGATATAAACATTGTCCTTATTTAGCAGGCTACATTGACTACAGCCACCATTTTTAAAATACTAAAAATGCTGCTGTGTAAGCTGTTATTGGTGTCTGGGGAAAAGAAAAAACACTGCCTTTTAGAAGAGTAGGACGTCAGGTGTGCAGCGCAACATTAATGTGAAGGAAAAAAAGGTAAAGAAAAGAAACAAGACCCAAGAATGATTTAAAATCATGACGCCCTCAGTGGCGCCAAACAGAAAAACCACAGTCATATGGTTGTAGTGGTGTGGCCTGCTAATGAAGATGCCTCAGGTTTTTTCATGACGCATTTCCTAACCTTTGTGGTCCTGGAAGCATAGTAGAAACATTAAAACAACCCATTTTAGATTTACATTTTTTTGACATAGATTCTGAAAGCTTCCAGATATGGAAAGTTAAAAAGGGCTGTAAGTCTGCTGCCTTGTTGTCACCCATCTTCCTCGCCTCACCCATTTTTCCACTGTCCACAGGCATGCTTCTTCCTGTCTCGAGCTATGTAATTAGGGTCTCAGCAGAGCTGCCAGCCCCCTTAAACCCTCACTCTATGGGTAAAGTAGCCTAATGGCAGTGCCTCCTCCTCCCACGCAGTGTTATTACATCAGACGGCCTCCACTCAGACAGCAGAGCTGCTTGCTGTCAGTGAAGCAGCCCTGCTCTGGCATGTGGTGCATACTGATGATCTAACCCGATGCTGTAGGTCGCGCATAACAATGGTCTTATCTGTGTGTGGCTGCAGGCACATCCTGATCACCCAGTCTCCTGAGAGCCACAGAGTATGTATACTCACCTCAATGTCCACTCCTGATAGCACAAAGACACGCTGATTTAACAGAATGTGACAGTACACGCTCAGCCATTCCAGCCTGATCTCATAGGTAATTTCAAAGTAATTGTTAGATACATTATTATGAGTCATGGTTGAGGTGGGGTCATTACATGCCTCAAATTGGAGCCCATGGCACAAATGACAACTCAGTTGTCACACAAGGAATATAAACCAGTGTGATCTAAAAAAAGAACTTATTATCCCTCAAAAATGTCTTTACTACAGTCGTATCAAAATTAATTGTTTTCTAATCTTAAAGAAGTTGTCAACACAAACGTTGTATTTATCTTTAATTAACTATATGCCAACATACACATCCAGGCAGTGGTCACACTTTTGGACTAACTTGCACATGATGATGAGATGAAATATGTTTAAACGAGTATAACATAATTCAAATACAAAAGTGCAATGATATATCGTGGTTTTTTTATGCATTCTACATTACCCACAATGCAAATCAACCACCAAAACATGTGGTGGGAGATTTAGGTGTGCGCTATTAGCAGCTAATTTAGACTCAAGCTGCTACCCTCAAGCAGAGATGAGGAGGTAATATAAGCTCACTACACACTTTTTATTATATTTTATATATAATACACTTATATTTTTACCTTCAAATGTGTTGTCTTCAGACGTAAATGACACTGACTCAAGTGACATCAGTTGAGGCAATTTATCAGACACTGCCAACGCTCCTTCTGGAGCCACAAATAGTCTCGATAAACTTTTTTTTCTAGATATTACCTGTAAACAGGCTCGATCATGTCGGTCTGGGTACAGTCCCTCGCTTTGAGCCGCTTTATATATATCTACACTGACCCATCGTTCCAACTGCTGTTCACATCGGAAACCCTTCTCACCTTCGGCCTTCTCAAAGTTCCTCGCTTTGAATATTTGCTACTACCAACCGAAGGAGATCGCACCCCCTGCGCGCGCTCTACACACCGAGCCCACCGCCCTAGGCTTCCGTGCTCACCACGGCGGACCTCCTACTCATTGCGGCATATATATATAATAAGTCTTTTCAACTGGATTAACAAAAAGGCAATTGAATGCCTGGATTGCTTCCAGTTTTCTTCCCCTGTTTCCAAGAGCACCTGATACATTTTCTGATGTACAATTAAGTATTTAGAGCAACCAGGCATAATGATAAATTAATTTGTCCAAGCTCTGGAATTGTACACTCAGAAAAAAGAAAATGAAGGCATGAAAGAACCAAAATGAAGGTATAACATCATTTTCTTATGGCCCACCCCATCACATCAGGACATGCGGTAGGCAACATACTGCTAATACTGACAAATACATCACTTTGACCTAGTAAAAGATGTGTAAGATGACCAGAATCCATGCAGGTTCAGAGATGCAGAAAATAACGAAATGCAGAGCTGAAATCATTTAGAGGCATGTAAACATTTTCCTGCTCTCCCTCTCCTCCTTCCCCTCCCTCCCTCCCTCTTCCTGTCCTTCCCCCTTCACGGCAGGGCTAGTGTTTCACCAGGAGAATACCTCAACAAGAGGAGAATACCCTGAACATGAAAGCAGGTCACAGCAGCAGCAGCAGCAGCATCATCCTAACAGCGATAAATGGCTGCCCTTGCCCAGAAGAGCCTACAATAACAAACACAGACACAGGGCAGCGAATACATCACCTTCCTGAACCCTTTTACACCAAAAGAAACAACTCTACATTTACTGCATTTACAGTGACTTCCTCTTGGTAATCTCTTCCTGTTCATCACATTTTATGGAATGACTCATAAGTGACTCAAGGACTAAAAACATTAAATTGCAAATGACATCATGCATTCAAGGCTCATGGTTCATGCTACATGTCACCTTGCCCCCCTCCTCTTCTCTACCAGCTGTATCATTGCATATATTTCAGCAAAGAAGACATAAAATGGTGTGTTTTATTCCCAAGGAGGAATAATCACTGGCTACAAAAGCACAAAGCAGAACAACAGCCCTAAGCTCTGTGTGATTACACCTGTTCTACAGCTTTGATCAGGCGGACAGGGACGGCAGAAAATCGTCTCTGAGCTTAGCTTCTTAAATGAGACACAAACACAGACAAGTCCTTCAGAACGAACTACAGCTTGTGTCAAATATAAGCACTGATTATAACGTTAGGTGTGGCTTGTTATTCAATGTCAGTGGCAGAGGTAACTCAAAATGACAGAGAGGAGTTATAAGGAGCGGTATATATATGACGGGAGGTTTCTGAGATTGGAAGGAGAGTAAAATGGCAGGCGAGCATCTTTATGAAAAGACGCCGCTTAATTAGTAAAAGCTGAGACACTTCCTGTTCACACATCATCAGTCTGATGAGCTGAGGCAGGCACCCTGAAGAGACAACACAAACAAAAGCAGAAACCACAGGTTGATGAGGCTACTAGAGGGAAAACGTGCACTGGTGCATCAAACAAAAGCTGGTTTACTGACCACTGCTCTGGAGTCATTCGCTCTATCTGTTTCATGATCCTCCTTGTGAATACTCTCCATACATTCACAGTGGAACAACAAACACTCCTCTCCCCGGCTTTCATAATGCGCATCAATATTACACAAGACAACCTGCAATGCATCATGCAGGGCCACTCCACAGGATACTATTTGGAGAATGTAAATAAAAGATTCCTCTGAAGTTGCCCAACCACAACCTGCTGAATGTACAGAACGTTACAAGAGAAGCTAAACAGAACAGTTTGCAGAGGGTGGTTTAGTTGACAAGATGACCAAAGGTTACAGGCTTACCATTAAGAAGGGCAGTGAGTTTAAATGCTGTTCATATTTCATGAGCAGATCAATCGGGGGCCTGACTCACTGCCTGCCACCGCCTATCGCCAGACAACACAGGGAAAAGAGAGGCAAACAGCGTGCCAACCTGCGAGTGTAAATTATTTACTATGTCTAAACTCTGCTGAGCGCAGCAAAGCTTACAAGCACACTGCCTGCTACGACATGGTGGAAGTCTGCAAGTGTGTGTGAGGACTGGGCTGGGCTACATGTGTCAGAAAAATGGAGTAAGGCAAAAGAGATAGACTAACACTAAAAGAAAAATATATTTCTTAAATGTCCACGAAAGCTTTTAAATGCCTCCCTTGAAATTTCTACCCTCCAGATATTGATCGTTATGTGTGGTGCTGGCCTGCTCATCCATCATGGTTACTATGTGAACTGAGCTTGCAGTACCTCTCCTCTTCCACCAGGGACCCTCACGGATGGTGTACGAGAGCTCATTGAACTCCAGGTCCACAGCAGAGCGGCGTGGGAGGTGGGAGAAGCGCTGAGCCTCAGTGATGTGGTTCTCCACTTTCTTCAAGTGGGTGAGCAGTGGCGCCTCCTGAGGTGCTCCGCCGGGGAGTTTGGTCTCCTCCATGGGGATGCTGACTGAGCCCTGCTCCAGTGTCCTCTCAGCCATGCTGAAAGGCTGCAAAGGGAAGAGAGACATGTTCATTTTTCAAGCTTTAACATCACTGTCCTGCTTGAAAAGAAGAAGGTGCAATCCTGTCTCATATCCCTTTTATCATATATGCAGAACCTCAGATACAGATTGATTTTCACCTGAAAAATCCATTAAAGTAAATATAGAGATCGGAAAGATCTGAAACTAAACACTGGACAATTAACAAGATTCCTTTGTTCTCTAGTTGATTGCCAGAAAACTGTTGCCTCAGCAGATGTATGGACACAAAAGTGTGTTGTAGGTATGATTTTAGGATGACTGCAGACATCATCTTAAAACTAGGTGCTGCACATGATCTGATTACAGTTTATTCTGTGGAGTGGCTGGTTGAGGGGAATGAGAGTGTAAGGAGTCAGGATCTGGTTTCAGTCCTGCAGCACGCTTATACTGCTGATTCACATAAATTTCCTCCTAGACTGAAGTGTCTGTTAAACCATGTAGCAGCTGCTGAACCATTAGTTTTCCCATAATGGGAAACTGAAACATCACATTGTCTCCCTAATATCAGCACACTGAAGATTACAGGATATGTGGCACCTTCAGAATCATGTTTCTATTTCATTAGTCAAGTAAAAGTCAACAGTTATTCCACACAAAAGGTCCCCCACTAAATGAAATGAATTAAGAGGATTATGTGCATGATTCAACTTGAGTTTTCAAAAGTCGTGTGGCCTACTTTAGATTAGTAGTCTAGCTGTAAATAACAAGCTGTGCAACTATCAGTTCAGAGTTTGCGGGTGGTCATGTTTTAATGCTGCAGGAAAACAAATGGGATGTGCTTTATTGCAAATCAGTTGTGCATTGTTGTATAAGGACTAATAATAGATCATAGCTAATATACAAAACCACCTGATTCTGTCTAAATAATTGAAAAAATGCATTTTTTCAATATTTATGCCTGACATTGGCATACAAATCACTACAACCCATAAAGCACCTTTAGGACAGCTTTGAAAATGTATGAGTTAATAAAAACAGAAAACAACACATGGTGACAGACACATACATGCATAAACAAGTCTGTTCACGTCTAACTCTCCTAATCAAACCTCCTATCATGTGTGAACGCATAATCACTGTATACAAAAATCCACTGCTGCCATGCAGTCCTGTAGTACTCTCCAGCTGCTGTGCACTGCCCATGAGTAGGACCTACCTGTAGTAGGCTAAAATATCTTTATGTGAAGAGGACCGGTGAAGAAAATTGACCATGACTTCTATTGACCACCCTGCCATTAGTGAATTTCCATTACTAGCCTGCATATAAGCTCTGTAAAAACACTGACAGGCTTTAATGGCCTCTTAGTAAGATGAAGGCCTCCATGTTCTGTCATGTGCAGCACCAAAGCTGGGACACGTGAGTCACACACACGCACACACAGCCATAATAAAAGTCTCCTGAGGCAATGAAATATAGTTATTAAATGTATCTATATGGCTTTGCAGTGGTGTGGTGATTCTGTGCTCTGCAGTGACTTTCAGTGATGAAGGATGCTCCCAGCTCTTCACATAGCACCTGTTAACAACAAACTGGTGAGATTGACAACATGAGACAGAATTCAGGCTGCAAAATGACAGAGCAGTGGGGAGATGTGCCTTTTTTTTATTAGACAAGAGAAATAAAGGAGCCTATTCTGAGGACGCATCTACAGTAGCCTAATTGTGGCTTTACCAGTCAATCCTGCGGTTGAATTGCACATGCACACACGCACGCCACGCATTGCACATACTTATTGTTGTGTCTTGAAATGACCAGGTGAGCAGCTCAGCCCTGGTTCTCCTCTCGGGGTGAGAGCAACAGTGCTCAGTTGATCCCTTCAGACAAAACAGCACAATCCATCCACATCAAGAATGTCCCCCAAAACAGTCCTAGCCAGCTAAAAAAAAAACCACAAACAACAACAACAAAAAAAACAACAAAAAAAACACAACAAGCCCAAGATGCTCACTGTGCACCACAGTCCTGAAAAAATCCGGATCGGTTGAGGGGCATTAAAGGACCGAGCTGTGTTCTCCTTGTCAATATCTCTCGGGGTGCGGCGCACATCGTCCCGCATCCACTACAGCAACTCCTGAGATTAAAATCATGTCCGGCCTCAAACTATGACTGCATCCCAGAGAGAATCATCAGGGGAACAGGATGCCTGTCATGTTCTTTCTATTCCTCGGTAGGATTATTCCTTCCACGATATCCATCCGTCCCGAACTCGCATCGAAATATTCACACACATCCTCAGCAATGGTGTTGAGGACAATCTTTCAGCCCCTGACATCTGGAATGGAACAAAAAACAGACCAACAGTGCTGCAGATGCTTCAGCAGCAGCAGCAGCTCGATGTAGCAGCCGCCGTTACCCTCTTTACCGGTTAGTGCGTCTGTGTGGTACGCACGCCGGTCTGGGATACAGGGCGTTGCTGACAGGATGCTACTGGAGGAAGCTGGTTTTGATTGTTTCCTTCTAATCTTAATCCTCACCTCATGTTTCAATATGAGCCTCACAGTAAAAAGTAAATACATGAAGCATTTTGGCAAGGCACTATATGCACAGCAGCCCTACAGTGGTTTGCTATAATACAATAATAGACACATTTTAAGTCCATGTAAAGACATTTTTAAGCATATTACGGTGATTTAAGGCTGGGAACTGACCCAAAAGTTGGAATTACCTCACTGTTAATTACATTTATTAAGATCTGATTGACCACCCCAACCTGTTTCAGTAAATTAGCCTCTGAGGTGCCAATTTAAACCTTTTAACTATTCCATTTTCTATTCTGGGGAGAATTTGGTCTGCTGTCTCTGAGGAAATGATGAGAGATGGGAATAACATAATGTAATCAGGATAAAGCTCCGCTGTCAATGAGAGTTTCTTTTTTTAATTTCTCACCTTGCCACATAATCCCAGTACAGATAATAAAATGTGGGCTCTGTCGCTGTCAGTGCACCGCTGTTGGCAGTCAGTGTAAACATGAGGAGAAGGTTTTGTGGTCAGATTTTAAGGCCCGCTGTCTCTTTAAAGGCCGCACCTGCGCAGCTGCCTGGTGCTGATGCTGCAGTGCCCGGGTTATTTTCGGTAAAACAGCCGGGGTTACTCTCGTTCAAACGGGCCCTACATGCCTTACATCACCCCTGAGAGGAAATCAAAACCATTTTTAGCCAATCGCACCTGCCTCTTAATCAGACCAATTTAAAACGAGCTGTCACGTCGCCAACACGAGCAGTTTCAGCGCAGCAACCCATCTTTTTGTGTGTGATTTGCCTCCTTAAATCTGCTAATATTATCAGCCAGGACCATATTCTTAGACACAGACTAACACATGAATATCTGAACCAATCACACTGATTGCAAAGCCTAGACTATATGATTAAACCAGCTCTGGTTTGCACCGCGTTGTCAGTCACATATTTGTTTATTGTTATTTATTCATAACTCCGTGTGATGGAGACAAGCCAGTATTCAAAATAAAGGTGGATGCTTTGTTATTTGGCTCCAGTAAATGTGTTGCATTGCCATTTTTAAGCTTGACTGCGATAGGGACACCTCAGGTGCTACTTCAATTTATTATTCTACTTCAAAGGCCAGATCCTGATTGCATAATGTAGCCTTATATTTGCCTTGAGGAAACAGAAATGACCTTTCTTACACTCTCTGTAGAATAGACTCAAGTTTGCATCCATAAATGATCTAAAAACAAGCAACCATTCTCATTCATGGCACCTGAAAAACCACAAAGCAGATCATTAATCAACTCAATGATAATTAAGTCACTTCAGGGATAATAGTGTTCCTCTATTCATAAGCCACACATTAACAGTGACTGACTGCCCCATGTTTGAGATAAGAGAACTCGTGAAGTTTAGTTTCAGTCTGTGCCTGTGAATATTTAAACTCAGCTAAGACGTCTTTGCAGGAGTGAAGGTAATTCTAGGACTGTAGAGTGAGCTCATAAACGAGGGTTAGGCATACTATATGTACTGAGCTGAAGTGTTATTAGTCATCTGAGGGGAATACATTGTACAGGATGGCACTAGGAACAGCTGCTCTCCTCTCTGTGGCCTTTTTTCTGCTTTCGACACAAGGAGCTGTCACAAACACAGGTGAATATTTAAGATAGTATAAATATATAAGCTTAAATTACTAATTTTTTGTTTTTGCACGCACAGCATCACTATAACTGAATACAACATGGTGTGCAGGTCCAGCGACTCTTCCTATCAGACTGTCTGTGGAGAATGACCTGTCTAACATGACCCCTGAGTCCTATTCCAGCTCTGTGGTAGAGGGAGGTGTGCTGCTGGGCGCTCTGAGAAGACTGCAGGAAACACAGCAGGACTTCAAGTAAGACCACCCGTGACATCCCCTTTCATACCTCTGCATTTCATCCTTTTTTTCTAAAAGGCATCTCAGCTGTTTCATCTACATATTTAAGCTCATGATAGATGTCTTGACCCTATGTGTTTGTGTGTGTATTGCAAGGTTCACAGTGAAGGAGGACCCAGACTTTGGCCTGTTGTTGGAGAGTGTGAATGGAGTAGCTGGAAGTGAGCGTGAGCAGACCTACTGGGAGATCCTGTTAGAAAGCTCCGGAGAGTACAGCAGGCTGGATGTGGGTGAGTATCCTCCCCAGAATTTAAATACAGCATATCTGAGGAAGACTTAATGAGCTCTAATGAGGCAGGATAATTGGCTGTCCTTTCACTTACTGCCTCCGTATGAGTTTTTGTATGCTTATTCAAAAATGTTATTGTTCTGATATTAGTCACTCTCTGTCTTAAATGTATTTGGTGTGATTTGTGCTGCTCGTGAGCAAGTGGTGCAACTACATAATTTTGGTGCTTCTTTGGTTTTTGGAGTAAAGAGGATGTATCAATAGTTGCTCATTATCCTCTAGTTCTAAAACATTTTTTCATTAATGAAGCTCTCTTTGAAATAATAAGTAACCCCTAACCAGTGTATGATGCATTTGGAAGAGGAAAAAAAGCCTGTATAAAGAGGTACAATACAGCAGTGCACCATCTGTGTCTGATTTATTTAGAAAAACACTTCAATACCTTATTTTAAATGTTATCAACAACCTATTAATAAATTCATGGCAAACCCTTTTTTGTCAATATACAATAACATTAGGATGGCATTTAACTTGCACATATATTTTAATGGGAAATATGAGTTTGTGCATCATTGAGGATCTCTGTCATTCTCTGGCAGGAAGGCAATTAAGTGCAGTGATCAGACTTATTTCCAGAGGGTTTCCAGCAGTTAACAATTGGATTGAAAATAGACATATTGAATATTACATGTGGCTTATTGAACTTACATTGATATTTTTTATTGAACTTACTTTAGTATAATTATTTTAGTAGTTATGCATGACTGACATTTTCTTAATTAGAATATATTTTTAAAGTCACTTAGCCCCTGCAGTACTCCCAAATACCCCTAGGCTCCATAGGAGAAACACTGCTTTAATTAGTATTACTGCAAGAACACCTTCAACTGAGCAGCACAAGTGAGCTGGGTTTTACGTATGGATATGTCAGAGTTTCTGATCCACACTTGTCCCTTTCCACAGGAGTTGGCTGCTACAAACCTAAAGCTGGTGAACACATCATCTTCAGGTTCAACACCTGGGGTCAACAGTGATGAACAAGCTGAAGTGCTGAGCAGTAACTCTCCAGGATCAGATGTGGAAAAGAATCTGATTTTATTTTTCATTTATGGTTGTCTGTAGATAATGAAGTGGTGTTGTGAGAATAAACATAACAGCAACATCTAGTGGCTTTCAGGAGCAATGTCATTCAAATCAAATCTAGTGAGTCTGTACATCAAATTTTATTTTCTCCACCTGACTGGATTGCAAAATATAAAACATATGAGCAAATATTCACATTGTAGCATTGGTTCAACAATAAATGCGACATTTATTTACATTTTGTGAATGTTTGGCCAGCTTTGTGTCACCTTTGAGTTAGTTACAGTTAATATTTGACTTATATATATGGGCTGTCAGAAATGAACACAATAAGACCAGACAGAGACACTGTAAGAAGAAATGTCACATGCTAGGAGGGGTACCGTCTATCACAATTGTTTGAGTGCAAAGGTTGAAGTGGGACGTAAGAGGCATGCAGCTATTATGAGTAGCATCATTTTTCAGTTTATGACAGCTCAAAGTCTGCTTATGGAAACTGCAGCAAATTCAGGCTTTGGATTTCTGTTAAAAGCCCAGAGATACCTCATTCTTTTAAAAATAAACAAAGTGCTGGCTTCAAAAGTGTTTGGCAAAGGTTCTATAACCAAATGCACATGGACTGGGTGTTTGAAATGTTGATGAGTGTGTGGTCTTTTTTTGTTCCTTTCTAAAGCACAAGTCATATTAACATTCAAAATAAATCTATATAAAAAATAAAAATTTGATTTTACAATAAAAAAATATATTTTGTGCTATTTATCACAATAATTTAAATATCAAAAACCATGCATAGACTACCTATATAAAAATGTTCCTTATAAGGTCTACGACAGTCTAACACTGACCGAAGCTCCTCCCTTTGTAACAAGATTAAGGTTTCATCTCTTTCCAGGACAGATGGAGCGAGAGGAGGAACGATGAGGCAGAGAGCTTACCTCTCTCCTTGTCTACATCTTTATTTCTTCTTTTCACTTAGAGACACATGGATGTTTACAGACGCACCTGTTATATAGTGTGTGTGTGTCCTGGTAGATTGAATCTGTCACATGAAATTATAGCACCTTGTTAATTCAGAGAATGCTGTGTGAGCTACAAAAATGCTGCCCAATGAACAATCACCTGCCTCCTCAAAATGAGCTTCTTATAATAAAAACAGACCTCACCACTTGGCACTTCAGGTTTAACATTTTATTTTAAGGTTTTAAAATAATTATCTTAGTCTGACAGCCTCTCAGACAGTTTTAACTAAAATTCACCTCACTTTTTTTTTCTGACCCTGTTGCCACCTTACAGTGCACAGACCGAATTAAAAAATTCTGTGCTGCTTATAATTCACCACTGACTCAGAGGGATTTGAACTTCAGGCACTGAAATCGTAATACTGTAAAATTCTATATATAGAAACCAAGGAGACAGAGAGATCAAATAAATGTCTTAAAACATCCAGATTTGGTCCACTGATTTATCCACACAATTGGATGAAGCAGCAAAAACAACCATTGCCTCTTTATCTCATGTCTCACATAGTAATCTCTCCATGTTTTAGGCTGCAGATGCTAAAACTAAAAAGACATAAAAGGTGTTCTTTGCACTGGAATTCCTCCTAGAAAGTCAACAAATTCATGTTTAAAGCAATAATTAACCACATTCGAGTGTATTTGCGGTAAGACAACATTGCAACATGCATTCATTACATCAGTTCAACAAGTCCATCATTTATGCTTGTCAGTGTGCTTGGCGAGCGACTCAACACATGATAAAGCGCAGTCACAAATGCAAGGGACACACTGGGCAAAGAACCGCTTCCAGCCAGTCTCCTTCTTCCTACAGTTGTCTATACGACTGCAGCCTTGTTTGGGTGGGCCGAAGTAGCTCTTGTTTGTGCAGGTGGAGCTGCACGTCCCATTTAGTTCCCTCTCACTGATTTCAACGCGTTCCCGTGGACACATTCCTAAACGTCAGGTAGAGAGAAATCATGTGATGAGCTAAAATGATCATAAGGGATCATAAAATCTTGTCAATCATTGTGGTTAGAGTTTACTCACGGAGGCAGGTAGGTTTCGGGGTCCAAAGGCCATTAGGCTGGCAAACTCTGGTTGGGCTTCCCACCAGCATGAAGCCAGAGCGACAGGCATACCTCACCACAGAGCCCACCCACCAGTCGTTACCATACACTACTCCATTATAGTCCACATCTGGCCTTCCACAATTCACTGCCATACAAAGCAAAGGAAATACAAAGTCAAGGCCTGACATGTAGCTTCATTAAAGATTGATCAGACAGAGCGACTTCAGTTTTTCTGTGTTTAAGGGGTTCTATCTAATGTCGTTGTTGTTGTAATCTTACCTCTGCACAGGGACTTGTAGCCGAGCCAGCAGCAGCTTGAGTCTCCACAGCGATCTCTCCTTAGCTCCTGGTGCTGTGCCTTACAGCCTCCTAAACAAATGGGGGCTATCCCGGACCAATACATGTCATCTATGAAATCTGGTTGCGGAATCCATTCTATCTCGCCTACAGGGAAACATTTGTATTAGCTTTGTCATATACAAAAAACAAATACAAATCACAAACATCCATATAATAAATAAAAACAGGCTTCAAGGCCAAGGTTACGAAAAAATAACATTATACTGGTATAATAGGAGGTCTTACCACTACCTTCCACCTCTCCAATCCATCCAGGAAACTGAGAAATAGCTCTTTGGAAGCACCCAAACAACAGCAGCAGCAGGGGATATAACCTCATGGTGTCCATCATCTGATGCGATCAGTTTCTGTGAAAAACTGCAGCTGGATCTGGAAGCTGACTCTAAGTCATATTCTTGTCCAGAAACATACTATACACCATTATATTTGCAAAGTCAAGGGACATGAAGCCGTTAGAAGCTGTTGCAGTGGAGCTGAGTTCACTGACTGCAGGATGAAGAAGCAGAGAACAGTAAGTAACACTTAAACTAAGCTCTGCGTTTGCTGCTTAATCTTCTACACACAGCTAATGCCACTACGTGCTGCATGTCACGCTGTGACAGGACAAACTGCTCCGGCAAAGGTTTGTCATGATTTAAGTCACCTGATCACCAGAGCTTTCCACAAGAGTGAAGCAAAAAGAAGGATGAGATGGGCGCCCGGTTAGCTCAGTCAGTAGAGCTGGCGACCCATGTACGGAGTTGCTGCAGCGGCCCAGGGTTCGAATCTGA